GTTATAAGCTGAATCATTTCAATTTCATAGCAAAATATATATATTTTTTTTCTTTACAATTATTATATTAATATTTTTTAATAAGGTTAACATTTTGAAATTCAACTAAACTTAGATTCAGCTCGGTTCAATTGTAAATATGGTATGATACAGTCTTTCCTTTAATGATCTTTTTTTTTATTTCTTCCTAATTATGACATGAGAAACTTCTTTTTGTGCTTCGGATCGTCGGACTTGATTAAACCTTGGTTTAAGCACATCTCATTTTTAAGTAATTTTCTTTTAGCTGGTGCAGTACATACTGTATATATATATATATATATATATATATATATATATATATATATATATATATATATATGTGTGACAATATGATGACAAGAATAGCAGTTTTAAGACATACTGATAGCCAATGCTGACCATATATAAATATATGTATATATATCACATATTTGTCTTAATTTAAGGGCACAATAAAAAAAAAAGAAAATATTTTTGTTTTTCTGTTCCTCAAAGTTTTTTGTCAAGCATTTAGAACTATGTTGTCAATTCAGGATTATATCTTGGTACGACAATGAAAAAAAACAGGAAAATAAATAGCCTCTCAGGCTAAATGACTTTTGATGGAAAACAAGATATTGAAAATATATAAAGAAAATATTGAAAGCAAAGTGCAGCCTTAGCATAAGTGCTGGCTCCATCCAGAAAAGTTAGATATCTAAACAGAGAAACAATGAACCTTGAGTACTTTTTTATGAAAAAGAAAAAAACTGCCTTGATTACATGCCAAATGGAAGACAAATTTCATCTAAGAAAATAGTAACACCACCAGAGCAAGGTCTGGTGAGGGGAACCATTTACTGTGATTGTCTTGTGGTTTAGTAGACAGGAAGAATTCACAGAAAATTACAGAGGCATTTGACCTGGAGTACTGCCTATGAGAAAGATAAACGAAGAAAATACACCAAGGGTAGTACTTACTCTGCCAATTGATTAAAAAAGCTAAACCCCTTGTTGATGCAGTGAACCAGTATTGCTTTCTACAAAATAGTGTTATCTCAAAGCCCTTTATAGGCAGGGTTCTAAGAAATCACACAGACTGATCGGTTAAAGTTTTCTATCTAAAGAAACTCAGCTGATTGCATTGAACCCTTGACTCTGCAGGATTTGCTTTTTCTTGATGAGCATGTTGCAACAGCAGACATTCACTTGCATTGTGTTGTATACTCTTCAACAATCCCTTACACTGAGCATGCATGCAGCGACAGTTGTCAGGAAAATCTGTGCAGCATTGTGGCGAGGCCAACTAGAAGTTGAAGAAGACAGAAGTAGACACATCAAAGCACTGATCCATAAATATTTTCTCGAAAAAAAAAAAAAGTTTATGTTCTTTCAAACATAAATGTCATATCTGAAATAGTTGTTAAAATAAATGTTTGTCTCTCGAAATATTTTGGATTTTACTACAAAACCTGAAAAATTTGCTCATTAGTCTGACAAATAGTCGTGCTTGCTTTTTACTGAGACATGGTTCTATTCTGTTTAGTATATATTACTATATATTTTCCTTTCAACAACCCTGTTCAGTATGTCATCATAGTACTTAACTCTACTGCTTGGTAATTACATTAGCATGGCTTTTGTTTATCAAATTAGCCACTAATATAAAATGATAGGGGGTGGTGTTAAGCTGCTGATGATCAAATATGAGTGTCATGTTCGCATTGTGCAATTTTTTTACGTTTGGCATTGGTCATAAACAGCAGGGGCCCCTTCACTGGTGAAATAAATTAAAATAAATAGTCAACTCCTGGTGAGTTGCTTAAGTGCTTTTGTTTACCATTCTTAACTGTATTTTGATGTTTTCTGAGCTTGCTGAAGTTTTATTTTCTTGTTGGCTCCTTACACCTCCTTGGCTGATGATCATGCATGTCTATTTCTTGTCTGGCTTGTTTCTGAGATCATTAGCTATGTTACATTTTCTCTAAATAACTGCTGTTGACATGACTTGTATGCTTGCCAGATACTGTTGCCTCAGGATATATTTTAAAGCAAATACACTTCAGTCTAGCACAGGAATTATCAGAGCACTTCGAACTGTAAATGTTGTCTGCTTTTCTGAGCTTCATAGTAAATATACTGGACTCATTACAAATGCTCTTTCTGAGCAGAGTTTAGTGATTTTCTGAAGGTGTTGCCATTGTTTCTGGAGAAACTAAGCCTTGCGTCAGTGCTAATCTTTCCTGAAAAACATCCTCTACATGACCCCTTATGCATTACTGTTTTAGAGCCACCGCTTGGATGGATTACTCATTTATTCAACATACTTATGAAACTATTGAATGATGATGTGAACTCTTCTATATTGGATCATATATTGCTTGTTGAATAACAAAATGGATAATATATGATTCGAACTTTGTTCAAAAAAGGAGATATGTAAATGCTGCGCCATTATTCTGACTAAATCTTAGCTTTATCAGGCAATACCGGACAATGCTATTAGCCTGGAGGGGCTAACACCTGGATGAATAATGAGGATCGGAAATCGCTAAAAGCACGGAACTCAGCTTTTAAGTCTGGTGATAAAGAGGCACTGATGACAGCGCGTGCCACCTAAAATATGCCATTAGATCAGCGAAGCAGAACCACAGCCAGAAAATCCAGGATCTTTTCTGTGACACCAGCAACACCAGGAGGTTGTGGAAAGGCACAAGGGTGATCAGACTATAACACTCCCTCCCCCCTGGTAAATGCAGCAAACACTGACTTCCTAAATGAACTGAAGGAAGGTTTGAGGCATTAAACAGCACACCAACTGTGAAGACCGTTCCACACCAGGGGGAGGAGGAACTCAAACTTGACATAGCTAAAGTGAGGAAAACTCACATTAGTGTCAACCCAAGAAAGGCCCCAGGCCCCGATAACATACCTGGGCTCTGTTTGAATTCATGAGCTGCATCCTCATGATTTCAAGACTCCTCGTTATGCAGCCTACAAATGCATCCTTCTTTTTGCCCGATTTGAAGGATGGGTCTCATGGATCCTATCCTTGGATATCCCAGGATTCATTGCGAGACCAAACAAGCCAGCTGCTCCGTATAAAGAGGAAATGGTACACTGGTGAATATTGGAAGTTCAGTTTAAAGTATGAGAATAGTTCTGTCTGAAATGAATGAAAATAGTTGTTTTAATGGTTATTAAGTCAGATAAACAGAGGTAATGTTTTATTTATCTAAAGGTTTTTATCTATTACTGTGTAAATGGGTTTGGCTGTAATTTAAGGACAGATTCTAATATATATCTGCAGTGTGGGGACTAAATATGATAGGATTTTTTATTTTTATTTACTTTTTTGCACAATTTGCTTAACTAAGTATGTTTTGTTGTTGAATATAAGAGATTTTGCAGATATATTTTTTATACATACATTGTTTAGGTTTATTTATATATTTCAATCCACTGGACAAAAGGATTGTTTTTTAAACTTTGACGGAATAGAGTCAGTGACTTGTACAAAGTTAGGGGCACCCAGAAGCAAGGGTGACATCACAGCATTTAGCAGTGCCATGCAGTGTCCTGTGTTATGCACCTACATGCACCTGATGGGGTGATTTAGAGCAAAAATAATAACTGCAAACATTCCAAGCTATGCCCTAAACTACCTCGGAAATAATTATCAAGATGGTAAAGTCACAAACATGGTGAAGCCAGCATGGTCTTGTGACTGAACCACCATTTAGGTGGTTCGGGTTCAAATGGACAGAACAAGTGCCACTAGTTTACAGTATGGGAATTCTCAAAAAAAATTTTGGAAGAAATTATTTGATTTCTATTATAGAAAGAATGGGACATGTGCGTTCAGCTGGTATATGTGCCAAAGTGGCCACTTTGATTAGTCAGAAATATAGAATACATATTGGCTCATGTTTAGATTCCATGATTCATTTTGTAATCCTGATTGCTTATTTATGATATGCTTTTTATTTCAAAGTGTAACGGAACAATAGATGTAACTATTTTCAATAAAAGACTGTAAAAAAAAAATGGTTGTTCTAAAACTTTTGACTGATGGTGTACCTGTAACATCTTAAAACTGCCCTTCATTATTTAGCTTTTCATTATTTATGGAGTAAATTATCAGAAAATCTGATGGTGCTTAACAATTAATCTTTTGATATTCAGTTCCTATTTATATTTAATATCAGCAGGAATTAACTTCCTTTTTGCAGAGACAATGTTGTATGTTTTGTCTGCATAGGAGGGACAAACAAGACATGGATTCTGTAGCATGTACTCTGTTTATTTTGTACAAACAAGACGAAGCAGACAGGATAAAACTTTCACCTATCATCGCTTGTAATGTAAAATGTATTCCTATGTCAGGATTGTTTAGCTTATTGAAACCATATATATTTGGGTATATTTTAATTTGACAATCCAGATCTTCTCGCCGTTATTTTTCCTGTTTGGTGCGATTGCAATTGCAGATCTTGACCTGGCTGGACCGAAGCGGAACCTGAAGCAGGATTCTCCACCATGAACATGATCAAAAATAAATATGGATCCAGGCTCAAAATGAGCACTTTGATATGTGCTTGAGAATGGCTTTGTCTCCATTCAAACCCAGGTTTAAAGCCTTGCAGGGTAGCCTTAAGCCCACTGCTCAAGTTAAGCCAGAAAAAGGAAAGAGGAGGAAAAAAAGGGTGAGTTCAAGTGTTTTATAAAACATGTGAATCGGGAAATTGTCTATATACTAAACTGAAAGATTGTTGTTCTCTACTTCAAAAAACACTTTAAATTTAACATTTTAAAATGGAATCTTTTTTTAAATATTTTTTTATTTAAAATTCAATGTATAACATGAATGCATATTTTATTTCAGTGTTAAATTCTGTTTAAAGTAACAGATCATTAAAAATGTATCCGGACCTTTACTGGTTGATCAGTTTCTTTATTCGGACCCCACAGATTTTTAATTGGTTACCCCTGGTCTAGAAGTTTACTTTGATCCCCTAGATGGTCCCCAAGCAAAATAAGGATATCTGGTAAGTGGATGTTTTTTTTTTAGTTTACAACTAAAGCAAGGAATAGCTCTCACACAAGAAAATACATTTTAAACTTTGTATTGAAAAGAATAAGCATAATACAAAGAAATACCCAGTCAAAAACAACTCAATATAAACCCAAGGTTTTCCTTTCAGGTTAGGTTTGTCAGGATTATTTTCGGCAATTGATACTCCACTTTACACAAAAGAGTGAACAAATAGCTAAAAAAAAGCCACAGCAGCAAACAAGTGTACTGTAGGAGTACTCCTTCCTACTTCGGCATAATGGCGGACTGCTTGCAAAAGTGTATGAGTTATGCTTTGAACCTAAATAAATAACATCATGGCACCAAGTACACAAAATGTTTGACTGACAAACAAACAGTCATTACACTTTCGAGAGTAGGAAAAGTGGATTTGCCATAATTTTGTAAGCACCACCGCTGCCAGAGTTTATGGATTTAAAATTTTTTTTGGGGGGGGGGACCAAAAGTGCAAGAATACCATCGGTCAATTCATTTTAGATGAATCTGGACACTTAATTTCTGAGAAAAATCCTCTTTAATACCTTTAAGCTTAAAGTAACCTGAAATCAAGAATTTTTATTTGTCTTGTTCTGATTGTTTAAAAAAAGTTCATCCGATACACTGTCCAATAATTCTAAGCCTGTTTTGATGTGAAAATATTTTAGTCCATACCCAAAAACAGGGAATAAAAGTTTGGACCTAACTGAAATGTTGAAATGCTATAAACACATTTGGCCTATCTTACCGTCTTGGTTTAGTGCCCCTGTGATGAACTGTAGGCTAAAGAGAAATGAGCTGCAGGTATTTGGTGTTCATCCGGCTTCTCTGTCAGCAGTTTAGCCGGATGCCCAGATGATACATCGGAGACAAGGCAATGACAGGGCAGGGCCATCTAGGGCCACTTAAAGCCAATAGTACAGGGCAGGATATAAGGCCTTCCATCAGCTACAATGATATTAGCGTAATTGTAATGGAATAATTGGATTCAAGAGCCAGCTGGGCCTCACCTCTGCAAACTACCAACATGAAAGCACAGAAATGGGCAGCATGGGATGGATCAGGTTGTGCTAGAATTGTAGGTTCAAGTACCGTACGATAAATAATTTTAAGGGAGAAATGTTATCTCTCTTTGGATTAAAAGAAAGTTAGGTCATGTTAGGATACATCTTACATACACATACACATTTTTTTCTGCATATTACTGCAATATATATATATATATATTTTTTTTTTTTTTTTCTTTTCTTTTCTTTTTTTTTTTTTTCTTTTACAAGATCTTTGTCATGGAGATGTTTTTTGACTTGAGTCACATGACAATGCTTTTTGTTATGATTCTGGCCTGACTGATCACCATCGTTTACATTGTGCTTTTCACTGCCAAGCCAAGTGTTCAATCTCTCCACCTATGCTGACCATGCTCCCTCCCAATCAGCAGCATGTACTGTAGCTCCCCTTGTTTCCTGGCTTAATGTGCCAGACTTATTGAAAGTGTCAGTAGATGTCCAAAGTTTCTTCCTTCCTTGCCTTGCCTGATCACGTCTTGTCCTGTTTCCTGATTTCTTAGCCTTACCTTGCACTTACTGGAGTCTGCTACCTGCTTTCTGATAATCTTGAAATTAACCCTGTTTCTGACTACTCATCTCAAGTGACAGTCCTTCAGATTTGTTTGCCATAATCTGGTCCATGGTGCTGACCTACTTCTGTTCTCTGACCACCAATTCAGGCCCCATCCCCAGATCTGTTTGCTTTTCCTTATGTCACACCCAAAGATCTGTCACTGGTTTTCAATGTGAAGAGAGCCACTCTTTCTCACCTCCTCTTCATTTTCAGTGATGTGATCACAGTGCCATCAGCTCCTGCTAACCAAAGCAAAGGATTAACTTTTCCATGAGACTCCAGAGAGGTAGTTCTGGTTCCTTTTTCTTATTGTATGCTGTTATCCAGGATTTATGTTTAATAAATCTTTTAAATATTCATGTTTTGCATCAGTTTGAATTCTCAAACCTCAGTCTGTCTGGTCTCAGATAAATATCTGTAAAGAATGTTTTAAACAAACACTTTTGACTCATCACTTATTGCTATTCCCTCTAAGTTAACATAGTGTAAACAAATGAAAATATTTTGCAGTGAAGAGTTCCCTGTGAGACTTACTTCTTTCTGAGAGTCCATGCCACAAAAGAAATAAACAGCAGCTTTCAGTTTTGTTTAATTTCAAGTAACCACCATGTAACCATCAACAGTAAGAACAAACTTGACCACTGAGATGGATGCCATTGGTTCATGTATCAAAATTTTCCCTTACTTCCTTTCTATGTTCAGAGTTTTCACTGTTTATAGCCCTTTACTTACTGCCACAAGAGATATGTATATGCTCAATCAACCCATAAGAAAGAGACAAAGGGGGACAAGAAGGATGCAATACTTTAGGGCAGGGGTGCTCAAGTCCAGTCCTCAAGAGCTACTATCCTGCAACTTTTTGATGCACCCCATTTTTAACACACCTGAATCAAATGAGTGGCTCATTACCACACCTCTGCTGGGCTAAATGAGGGGATTGAGCCTTTTGATTCAGGTGTGTTAGAGAAGAGATGCATCTAAAAGTTACAGGATGGTAGTTCTTGGGGACTGGACTTGAGCACCCCTGCTTTAGGGAAAACTAGGAAATGTTGACATGCTGCTTTTATCCCCATAAGCCTGTATATTTTACCACTTGCCACATTACCAGCAATATCTACCTTTTGTAAGTATCCTTACATGAACCTGTGAATGATTAGGTTGATATAATTCTTAAGACCGACAAATATGTGCACAAGCAGCTGTTGCAGTGTTTGTGTATAGAAATATACTACAGAGGCCCTCTACTATCTCCAACATTTCAAATTATCTGGATTGGACCTTTTTCATCATTTAAAAGTGAAGGGGAATCTTTAATCCTTATACAGCTCAGTTATGCGTTAGCCTGACAAGAGGGTATTCCAGGTCAAATGTATCAGTTCAACAGGACAGCTCAACAAAACTGCTCTTTTTCTTGTTTTAAAAGTAATTTCTTAAACATAAATATAACAGGGTATGAATAAATTACACTACTTAATATCATGTTAACTAATACATATTTCAATAGTCCTGGGCTTCCTATATGTGGGCTGTACCTGGAACACTTCCAGAGAAAGGCATTCAGGGAGCATATCAGCTTAATACTCTCAATGTGGAGCTCTCAATACTCTCAAAAACGTATCTTTACACACCCATTGCGCTCAGAACCGAGACCTGACCTGTTATTTGCAATTATCCTCATTTAAAACCCGGGACCGCAGGGACCCGTAAATAACAACAACAACAAAAAAAATGTTTTAGTGCTTAAACACATGCTTTATTTTTCTAGCTGCAGCAGATAACTGTCTTAATAACAGAGGCATACAAAACATTGCCTCACTCTGCACTCACAGACTAAGACTTAGATAGACTTTACTGTCATTTTGTACACAGTGTATACAAAAATATTTTTTTTTCAGTACAGATCTCAAGAAATTTCCATTTTCAAAGTGCAGCAGTGATAAAATGTAACCAGCAGTGATAGAATGTAATCATGGTGATAAAAATGTAAACATAAGACTGATATATGAATACAGTTTCCAACATTCAGCGCTTTTTTGTTTTCTTTTAAAACCCCATTTTATACAACATTCAGCAGTCTAATGGCAGTGGGGAAGAAACTGGGGGGGAAGAAACTGTTCCTCAAACAGTCCATGGTGGGGTTGTGAGGCATTGTTTATAATTTTACAGGCTCGGGACACGCAGCGCTGGGATTCAATGTCTTTTATGGATGGAAGAAGAGCACCAATGACTCTACTCTCCTCAGTCTCCTTCCAGTCTGAGGTGTGGCAGCCTCCACACCACACAGTGAGAGAGCTGGTCAGAACGCTCTTTATGGTGCTTCTGTAGGAGGTTGGGAGGATGGGGGGGCAGGTGGGCTCTCCTCATCCTCCTCAGGAAGTACATGGACTTTTGTGCTCTCTTTACCAGTGAGGTGCTGTTTACCGATTAGGTGAGGTTGTCCGTGATGTGCACCCCCAGGAATTTGGTGCTGCTGACCACCTCTGCAGTGGAGCATGGTTAGGACGTTTTTTCCTGAAGTCAACAATGATCTCCTTCATGTTCTCCATGTTCAGGATCAGCTTGTTGTCTCTGCACCAGCCCACCAGCTGCTCCACCTCCTCTCTGTAGTCCAGGCCATTGTCATCTCTGATGAGGCCCACCACCGTGGTGTCATCTGTGAATTTCACGATGTGACTGGTGGTGAACCTGGGGATGCAGTCATGTGTCATCATGGTGAACAGTAGGGGGCTCAGGACGCAGCCCTGAGGGGAGCCTCTGCTTAGACTGATGACATCAGAGGTGTTCTGTCTGACCCGGACTGACTGAGGTCTGTTTGTGAGGAAGTCTAGCAGCAAATATTGAAGGGTTGTATTGAAGCCGAGCTGTTCCAGTTTGCCCATCAGATGCTGTGGGATGGTGGTGTTGAAAGCTGAAATGAAATTCAGGAACAGTATTCGCACGGGTGTTCCTGTTTGTCGGTAGGCGAACTGGACCGGGTCAAATGTTGGCGGCAGACTGGAGATGATGTGTCCTTTATCCAGCCTTTTGAAGCGCTTCATCATGATGGGAATGAGTGTGATAGGCTGTTAGTCATTGAGTGAGTTGACCTTAGGCTTCTTTGGAACCAGAATAATGGTGGCAGACTTAAAGCATGCTGGCACTACGGTACTATAGGCAGAAGTAAGGTTTGAATTGCTGCTTAAACATACTTCTCTGGATATTCTTGGATCAATTTATTTACTTACATGAAGAGTTAATTAATAATAGAATATAAATAATGAGTTTCATTTATGCTGTAACTGTATGATACCTGCCCGCATTTTGTTTATTTTGTTTTCTACCCGTAGATGTATGTTTTATATGGGCACCCACCTGATA